ACCTCTTTTATAAATTCTTCGTTATAAGATTTTGATCCATCGATCAATTTGAGTGCAACGTTCCTTAGAAAGTTTTGCTCTTTATCTAACCATTTGGCATAAAATACCCTTGCAAATCCACCTTGCCCTATTTTTTCAACATCCATAAACTCTTTATATGAAATCCATGATAATGGATGTTTTCCTTCAACCAATAATTTTTTAACATCATCATCAATGTTAGAATTTTCTTTTGCCCATTCACCTGTGACTAAAAAAAAAAAAAATTATCAAATAAATTAATAATGAATCGAAAGTAAAGTAAATTAAATAAAAATACCCAATATCTTATTATTTGCCCTAATTATTATTAGAAAAAAATGTAAGTTAAAAAATTATAATTGCAGTAAAAATTAAATAAATAGATTATTTACATTTGATACCAATAATCAGCCTTTTGTAAATCTCTCGAAACTCCAATTCCATTTCTATAACAATAACCAAGTTTAGACATTCCGTTAGCATAACCCATTTCGGCAGATTTTTGATAATGAAGAAATGCTTTATGAATATCTTTTTCAATCCCAATTCCATCCAGATAGCAATTTCCAACTTGATATATCGGTTGATAATGTCCCATTTCAGCTGATTTTTGATAATTAACGAACGCCTTTTGTGAACTGTTTTGCTGTTTTGTTTCATAAAATTGTTAAATGTTCTTATACTCATGTGCTGAATGAAATGATTAATATGAATGAAATGATTTGTCATAATGGTAAATAAATGTTTATATTCTTTTTTTGTCTGTTTTATTTCGCTAAATTATTAAGTGTTCTTTATACTTACAGACTAAATTAATGAGAATGAAAAGAGTAATACGTAATGGTAAATTAGTATTATGATCATGTTTTGTGAACTTGTTTTTACTGTTTTTATTTTGTAAATTTATTAAACGTTCTTTATACTCATGTGCTGAATGAAATGATTAGTACTTGATGGTAAATAAGTACGTATTTATGTTCTAGTTTTGTGTACTTGTTTTGCGAACTGTTTTTATTTCTAAAAATTATAAGATGTTCTTTATACTCACTAACTATATTAATACGAATGAAATGATTTGTACGTTATGGTAAATAAGGATTTAATTTCTTGTTTTATGAACACGTTTTGCTATTTTTATTCGTTAATTTATTATTATACTTACGGACTAAAATAACAAAAAATAAATATTTTGAGCTTAAATTGCTTATATAGATTAATGAATGCACTTTAAGTTTACTCCCTGATAATAAAATCGTGTAAGAGATTTTAAATAAAATATAAACAAACATTATATTAATAAAATTTACTTTTAAACATTCCCGAAATTTATCTTCACGCCAATTCCATAAAGGTAACAAATGGCAGTTTTCAAATTCCCATAGAATTACCTGCCTCGGTAGCCTTAAGATAATATGTAAATGCTTTATTCTTATCTGTTTCTACTCCAATTACAAAATAATAACAATAGCCAACTTGATACATTCCGTTAGAATAATTCATGTCTACTGATTTCTGATAATAAATTAATAACTTATTTTCATCTTTTTCGACCCCAATTATATATTCATAACAATATTCAAGCCTGTAAATTCCGTCTGGATCGTTCACATCTGCTTATTTTAAGAAAGTTATAAGAAGTTAAAGTTTATAATAGTTAAAAAATTGGCATAATATAAAAAAAATAAAGAAAAGATAATAAGTTTATTTAACCAATCAGAATCAGTTACTCCAAAATTAGCTAATCAAAACCGATCATGTAAGTACCAAAAATTGGCCGTAGTGATATTAGCATTAGTCGACTTAGTCAACTTAGCCGGCTAAGTCAGCAGACTTTTTAAAGCGACTAAGTACAGCATAGAGATAATAAAATTAATTAGAGTAGCGACTCACTCTGCAAAAAAATAATTATATGTCAGTTATTATCAGTTATTTATAGCGATGGTACGAAACTATGAGTTAAATGCATAAGTTATTTAATTTTTCTATAGATGGTTAGTCTATGCTGAATCATGCAAAGCATCTAACATTTGGTCGCGCAATTGCTGCAGTATAAACAACGATTTTTGTCTCTGTGCTATCCAGCCTTTGTTCAAAAGATCCTTGCCTTGGCTGAGATAATGGATTTTAATATCTACCGAAAATAATCACAGAAATTTTGTTTTTAGTCGACTAAGTCAGCTAAGTCAGCTTTTATAAATTCAGATTAGTCAGTCGATAGTTTAGATCCGACTAATGAAACTAATAGGTCGGTACTGAATAAATAAGAAGAATAATCTAACTTCGATTTATGAAATTCTTAACTTTTTTTCAATAATAAAATATGGAACCATAAAAATACAATTTTTTAGATCACGAATTTTTTAACCAAAGTCAAAAGGTACTAAAGATTTTAAACTTTTCGCGTAACTCAAAATTTAAATTTGAACTCTCATATTTTCAAAATCGTTTATACTAGTAAGACCGAAGAATTTTACTAATTAGGAACGTGATTGTCTAATTAAAATTTTTATAAACTAATTTGCAAACACATTAAGGCCTGTTATATCCCCAATAGATAGTTGAAGCAAAGGTACAATACAGGATAGTATATTATATTACTCGAAAGCTTTAAGAAATCTCACCAATTCACCCTAATGTTTCCAAAGTTTTTTGTAAACAAATTTTTCGATCCTCAAATAAGTAATTTATAAATAATATTAATGCAAAGAAAACGATTTAATCTTAATAATAATATGCCAACTTTTTCGAGGAAAACAACTTTCTTAAAAATTTTTTTATTATCGCAAGACAATGTAGTAATATATAATTGAAACTATTCAAATAATCATAGATTTATTAAGCAAATTATTCCAAACTCAAATTTTAAATTCCCAATTAATATTAGAAATTACAGTGTAATATCAATTTGGTCAACAAATGTAAATGTCGTTAAATCTTCCACCGATTTATTAATTGTTTTAAACACAAGCAAACTATTTCACATATTAACAAAGAATAATAAGTTTAAAACAAAAATAACTGATATCTA